CCTTTTATTATTATTTAAATATACATATATACTATCTACTCCATTGTACGAATAATATGTTTCATGATAAAAGGGTACATAATAAAAGAACAGCACATATCGTTGGAGATATCTAATTTATTTCTACAGAACAATTGGATTCCATTTGTTACAAAGTAAATTTTATTTTTAAAAGATTCCATAAGTTTTATTTGAGAGATATAATTTGAGAAATTATAAAAGAAAACATTTAAAAGAAATGTAAAGTAGAAGGGATTAACTATTATAGGTTGTAATAGTTAAAGGACTGCAGGTCTAGTCCTAGAATATGAAATTTAAAAACACTGAAATAGAATAGACAGGTCAAAAGTAGATATTTTGGTTCATAAATAATTAATAGCTGATAACAGAGGCAAGGCAAACTGGCGGGAAACTTGAATTATGTTGTAAGAACTGATTTAAAACATGGTTAAAAAAATGTTCACTTCACCATACACCGGAAAAAATTCTAGGTACATATTTAAAATTAAATTGTGTTTTAAATGCAAGGAACTAGAAGATGAAACTTTATGAGAAGCATTGACACTTTGTACATAAGGTTATAAATATTATGAAAAGATTTTCGTGCATGAAAACATGTTAATATACAAACATTTTAAGCTTCCTTGTATAAAATAATCAAAATACAAATTTAAAAATATTCTGGAGAAATACTGGGGATATATTTTATCTTTATCCATATGAACAGATTCTAGAAATTGATCGTAACTTACTTTCAGTATCTATGTACTGAATATTAAGAGATTTTAATGTGGAAATTCAAGGAAACAACAGTATATGCAGTCAATAAGACAATTTTAAGAGCACACTCAAAGAACACGCCAGATATGTCACACACACAAAGAAACTAGAAACCAAGCAAATGAAAAGATGTTCAGTCTTACTAATTTTTTTCCACCTAAGAAATTTAAATTAGTATGTAAATAAGTAGTAATGATAAAAATCAGCATGGCAAAAGTATCATGAAAATGGCACTTAAACACTACTGGTGTCATTACATTTTGGAAAGTTATTTGGTAATATTGTATCAAATTTGATAAAAATAGTTTTAACTAGTGACCAAATAATAACCTATCTGGAGATCTATCCTAAGGAAATAGTAATCCAGAATCTAGGATAAAATCTTCAAGGATGAAGATACTAAAACCATAGTATTTCTAATGGCATGATATTGGAATTTATCTAGATATCCAATAATGGCAAGGTGAAGTACATTTGATGCGATATGATTCCAGAAGTTACATGATAGTTAAAAGACTATGTAGGAAACATTAAAAAGTGCTTATGTTGTGATTTTAAGTGATTAAAGACCAGATGTAACATTGTGTACATAGTGATACACAGTATAAGATGCATCAGATTACTGGAAGGAAATACAATAACATGCAAACAATAATATATGAAGGTGGTGGTATTCAGGGCATCTTTTCCGGTTTTCAAAAATGTCTCTACTAGGGTTACAGGGTCTTCATATTTAAAATATGTAAATATAAAGGTATTGCTGATATCCGCAGTCAACTATATAAATCTATATATATGGTATGGATACACCTGTGTGAGTAGCACTCTACATAGAATATTTCTTGCAAATATAAGAAATGTATCTGAATATATTACATAATTATTTTTTCTGAATAACCTTGAACAGACAAATGTAAGAACATTTGAAATATAGAGAATGCCTGATGATAACCTGCTTGAACCTATCCCTTAAATCTTAGCATGTCAAGTGATCGTGGCCAGATGATCATCAACAAGGCATTTTCTAAGAGGCTTTGAGAAAGAGGACTGCAGAATAAATATCCCAGAAAGACAATAATGTAGCAGCTTAGATAAAATGCTACAGAAATAAAGAAAACATTCTACAAGTAAGCACTATGAATTGATGGAAATCTTTTGAGTATTGGTGTTCTCCTCAGAGAGAATAAACTGGTCTTTGTTGCTGAAATGTTAACCCATACATATTTAAGTTTATGTCTTCAAAGAAGGAGAACTGGGAGGGCAGAGCAACCACAGTAAAAGGCTTCCAAGCCTTCTGGTGATGTATTATTAATTTGCCGCATTTGCCAGGCCAACTCCATGTCTGTAATTCAACAGCCCCCTTCATTGTATCAGTGATGATTCCACAGCATCCACACACCAGCCGAGGTAAGGTTCACTCCAGAATGTATCACTAATTATCTCTGTAGCAGCTTAGATGGGAAAACATTTCAAGGCTTTGGAAAGAATATAGGAATTTAATTTGCAGAAATATTTTTAAATTATGTTATTTCAAAACTAAAAGGTCCTTGCTGGCTGCATTAGATATTTGCTTTAACATTTTTTTCTAATAAGTTAATTCAGTACGAAGTAGATTCATCTTGTACCGTATCCAAATTTTTCTAATAATAAAAAAAAAAAACCTAGAATACATGTAAAACTAGCATTATGGGCAAAATCTCTGGGCTTTTTCCTTTTTTGTGATATTTACAGACATTTTCAAAATGTATATAATATTTCATTTATTGTTTTTACATTTATTCAGTACTCTCAGCTCTTCAATGATCCAAATTCAGTTCACCAGTACTTTAAACCTAAGTATTCATCCATCAGAAAATAGTTTATGCAACACCTATAATATGCACAGGGGATGCAGTACCGAATTAAATAGACAAAGACCCTGCCCTCATGGAACTTAACATTTTAGTGGTGGTAGGAAAAGAAATTGAAACTATATACTAAAAGCTATATAAATGCAGTATTAGTAGCAAATGCTGTGAAGAAGAGAATGTCAGGAATGGAGAAAGACAGGCTGGTCAGGGAAGAGCTCTCTGATTGGTGCCAGTTGACAAGAGCTCTGAATGATGTAATGTGAAGGAAGAATATGCTAGGCAGAAGGAATAGCACGTTCCAGAGTACTGAGTGAAGTAGACCACACTGTCTATAGGAGAGCAAATGGGAGGGAGAGTAAGAGCAGGTAAGAACAGAAAGTAAGTATGTGAGGGAGGTTTCATGGATATTATTATGTTTTAAATAAAACTCTTTAGGGGCGCCTGGGTGGCGCAGTCAGTTAAGCGTCCGACTTCAGCCAGGTCACGATCTCGCGGTCTGTGAGTTCGAGCCCCGCGTCAGGCTCTGGGCTGATGGCTCGGAGCCTGTTTCCGATTCTGTGTCTCCCTCTCTCTCTGCCCCTCCCCCGTTCATGCTCTGTCTCTCTCTGTCCCAAAAATAAATAAACGTTGAAAAAAAAATTTTTTTTAAATAAATAAAAAAAAAACTCTTTAAATTTTTCATATGAGCTCATTACTCATTAAATACAAAAACACTCTCAAACAAAGAAACAAAAAAAATCATGCTTTTGTAGATTTCTTGCGGGGGGGGGGGGGCAATTAACGTATAAATAATGGCTATTTTATTCTCACTATGCTCAATCATTCCCAAACGGCTTATGACATGTGGCACTGTGCACACAGTTTGTACTCACCAGACTGAGATTTTGCTGCCGAGGGAGAGAGAAGTGAATGCCCCACAGTGCCCCCTGATAGTTTTGAAGTGAGACATTTCCAGAGCAGTTGGAGACACAAAGACATTGGTGTTAGAAAAACCAGACATATATTTTTAAATAAGTCAGGGTTTCTGTAACTTTTATTTTCATCAGAGGTGCAGCCAATCATTCACCAGAGATTTGAATCCTGCCAAACAAGCCCCCCCCCCCATCCTCCTCCCCCACCCCACCCTGCCCCATGCTCACTTGGAAAGGTTTGCATACATACTCCTCCACACTGGGGGCTCAGAATGAAGTACAACCCTGGGAGCTGCCAATATGTATACATTCGATTCAGTTCTTTTATCTGAAGGTGAGACCAGCCAGGGAAAGAGAAGCAGATTTTAACATTTGTTTCTCTAATACAGGGGGTGGGGGGTGCAGGTCTACGTTCACTTTGCTGACTTGCATTTAAACCCTGGTAAATAGAGGACAAAGAGAAAACAGAAATTTTCATGCTATGTATGTTTGGGGATTTTACAAAAAATGTATGGTTTTTAGAACTTTGTCTTATAAGTCTGCTTATAAGGGACACTTGGAGTATCATTTGAGTGTAGTACATTTCATCATTCTTTACTGATGATTGTGTTATTTAATTTGTCAAGATGTTAAAGGAGCATCATCTATTTTTGTTACGTTACTTAAAACTCCTCGGGATACAGCATAATAAATGCATCCTAAAATACACTGTGCAAACTGTCCGTATTTTTCTATCATTAGAAAGTAAGATGCAATTCATGTTCAGTCCAAATGATTTAGCTAACTTGAAATTGAAAACCACCTTTGCCTTTTTATAGCCTGATATTAGTAGCCTTTAGAGCCAGGACAACCGGCTGTGAAGCTTGGGACTTACTTAAAAACTATGCCATAAGCCATGTCAGTGATGTAGAAAATTTACTTCTGGATAGAAAATTTATTAAAAATTAAAATGAGGACAAATTGGAATATCGCATAAATTACATTTTTACCCAAATACAATTTTGTCTGCAATAAAAATTAATGTTTCAAACACTATACAATCTTTAATTTTGTACTCATTTGCTTCACTTTCTGCTCGCATGCTATTAACTATTTAATAAACCTATTTATAACCTAAACAATTTATCTTACTTCATTTTGCATACAGATATAAAATATCTCTGAACATGGGAGAAACCCAAAAAGCCTACAACTACGGTGAATTAGAAACTACTTCAAGGAAGTATGAACTCTGAAAAGATGGGAATTATTATACTTCATATTGTTTCCCTAATAAGCTTAAATCATCCTAAAACTTTATCCATTTTATCCTCATAGATTCCTTGAGAAGGTCTGGGAAAAGGCATTATTATCTCTATTTGAGTAAGAAGGAAATTCAATGTGACATTTACTGGTATTTTATTTTAAATTTACTACTATTATTAGTAGAGGTTGAAATGAATTTGATGTATTTCAGAATGAAAAGCATTACAATCCATGAAGAATATTTCTACACTAGAGATAAAAATAAAACAAGGAGTTAAAATGTAAAAACTCAATGGAAAAGCTACTTGAAAGAGGTGAGCTTATTAATTTTTTTCTTCCCATGTGCTTGGTCTATCTTATTCTGTCTTTTATTTAAATTCAACCTGCTTTCTTGTCTTTAAGAAAAGACCTTCAGGCTCCCTTCTTATAAAAGGTTTCAGAGAAGTTTTAAGGAGGGATTTGAGAGAGGAGATGATTTTGAATAATGGGCATGAAATAGGAGACTGTTTTTAGAGTTAAGTATAGTATGGAAAATTTCAATCTTAAAAGTGGGAATATGAAACTATATGCTATATGTTTAAATCCTTTCTAACAAGGATAATAACTTTAAATTTTTAATGTGACTTTCCTTTTTTTTTTTTTTTTTTTCCTTGCTTGGTACATGACCTTCACTTTCTTGGCCTAAGGCATCCGTCTCTCTCGGTGTGTATGTAAAGAAAATAGGGATAGAGAGGTGTATCCGGCTTTTGAAGGTTAAAATAGAATTAAGCAGTAAGACAGGTTATTATCTTGAAAGACAATTTTCCAGATTGTTTATTTCCCACTTTGTCTAACAACCAAGCCAGCATGACCCATGCTCATAGAATTCTCCCAGAGTAGAGGAGATATCGCTGGCCACCATTAAAGCTTAGTGTATGAATGGGAAAAGAAGGATAAGAAAAGAAAAGCCCACCCTTTTCAATTTTGGAGATTTTTCAATTTTGGAGTAGAAAAAAGAAATAGGAATACAAAGGAACATAATTAAGGTTTCCCTTCTCTGGGCTATGTAAAAATAAGAGTCATGTTTAGGGTAGAAAGGAACCCTTCCTTCCTCCTCTCCTACCCACCCTCTACCCACCTACCCCCCACCATACATACCTCCACTTCTTATTTGAGAGGCTGAGAGGAGGTTCCTTTGAAGACTAGCTTAGGCCAACCAGAGGTCAATTTGGCTGGTCAATGTGTCCCATCAAAGAAGGACCCTGAAATGTTGCTTTTCTGAGCCACCCTTGTTTCCAGAATTAGCTGTGAGTTTGGCTGTGGAACTTGCCACAGAGGCTCATTGTCATGAGAATAATAAGTTCCCAACACTACGCTATGGGAAAGAGAAGATGGCTTAATTTAAAAGAGTATTATTAGAAGTGAAGATATAATGTTCAAAACCTATTAAGGGGTTTGTCTCAACAGGATTTGATGGTAAGAGAGAAAAGAGTCCTGTATCATTTTTAAGATCTTTGGAAGGAGAGGTGACATGAATGGTACAATGAGGAATACAGGAAGAGCAGTTTGGAGGTTGATAAATTCACTTTGGAGATTTTAGTCTGACATGCTTAAGTAATATCAAAATGGCATATGGGTTTATGGTTCAAGAAACATCTGATCTAGACAGATAGATTTGGGAACCATCACTGCAGAGGTGACAACCAAAGTCCATGGGGTGAGCGAGACAAGCAAGTGGAATATGGCGAGTAAAAGAAGCGTATCATGAATAATTCTGGGAAACACCAATATTCAAGGGGAAAAAAGGAGAGACAGATGCCTTTGAAGGGAAGGACCAAGAGGGCAGAGACAAACCAGGAGGAAAGGGATCACAAATGCCAGGGAAGAGAGCCTGAAGAAAGAGACCGTGGTCAATGGGTCAAATTCTGCTGTTAAGTAAGTGTTAAATGTTAAATAAGATAAGAACGGAGAGTTGCATTTAGCAACTCAGAGATTATAGGTGACCTTGGTGGCAACAGTTTCAGCAGAGTGTTGGGAGGCAGAAAACAGACTGTGGTGAGTTAAGGAGTTAATTTAAAATGAGAGAAGTGTGACAGTGAAAGTAAATTATTCTCTTATAGGGCTTGGCAGAAAAGAGAAGAAATTTAGGGAGAGGTTCCAGCAAGCATAGTTTGTAGGGGAAAAGCTATTAGAGAGGGAGAAATTAAAAATACCAGAGATAGAACATAATTGATAGAGGAAATCTCCTAAGAAGACAGGAAAGGGACAGGTTCTAGCATTGCTAGAAAGATTCCCTCTAGAAAAGAGGAGATACACCTCCTCTGCTGTGTTGGTTGAGGAATAAGTTAAGAATAGATGCATATTATTTTTTGGTCATGGTATCGAGAAACTGGAGAAGCCTGACTTTATTAGAAACCTTTACCTGGTGCTCAAATAAACATGAATTTTTTTTCATTTGATGAAGAGGGGGCAGTTTCTACTCATCTCAAAATTGAGAGATTGAATGGCCAAGACTCTACACTAACATGGATCTTGGGCATTTAAAATGTTCCCTTCACCGTAGTTCCCCAAGCACCATTTTGCATTCCCACCAGCAACGGATATGTGATCTAGTTCCTCCACGATATGCCAGCATTTGGTGATGTAAGCCCCCTCTCTGGTCCTTTCTCCCCCAGAAGTTCCCTTTGCTTCTTCCACTTCTGGATGGTGGGCCCATTACCATAGCCTCTGGACAGTCTCATGCTGCAAGGGAGTTTCCCCACATGCAATCCTGTCAAAGTGCTGCCCAACCAAAGTTTGTGTGTGCTACGATCACTGCATGATCATATATTTTTCTTTGATCAGCCCCAAATACCTCAATCTCCCTACACATAGCTGCCCAAATAGTTCCCTCCCCCTTGTGCCTTGAAATGTGCAGACCATTCCAAGAGTAAGGCCATCTCTTGGAACCCATGGCATGGTATTGCTAGTCGGAAAATACCTAAATGCCTAAGACTGACTCTTTGTGGGATAATGAGATTGTGTGAGCTGCACTACTTCTCTTTCCAGAATCAAACTGTTATTACACTTACGCATGCGACACTAGTAAAATGTGTGTTTAAGCTCACTTTAAATGATAGAGCAAGTTAGTCTTCTAATAAAATTTGAATATCTTCAACATTAGAAATCATGATATTTTCTAATATCAAGTTATAACAGGTTGAGGCTCTTATATACTGACTGTACTGAAGACATACTCCACTTGCCAAAGCTACTTGAAATAATGAAAATGGATTTTGCTAGAACAGCGTAGAATCTTGATGAAATATTTATGTTTTATCCTTTACTTCCCTTTGTACTTGATAGATAGTTTTTTTCCGTATGGAATAGTAGTGCCCTGTGTTTCTGCTCATGTCATGGAGACTGGATTGACAAGAAGAAATATGTGAGCATCATTTGATTGTATTCACAATTTTCACTATTGTTTTTAATTTTGAATTAAGGCAATGGAATATGTTGTTTGTTAATTTGGATAAAGCAATACCTGAGTTAGTATTCAGGTGCCAAATATTTTATTCAGATAGTGATGCACTTGCTTGTTACATGCATAGCTGCTCTTCCATCGGTACTGATCAAAACACCACTTTTACCATTTATATCCAGCTGACGAAAAATTAACAAGCATGGCATAGATTTTGAGTGAAAAATAGAATAAAGGTTTCTCAACCTTACCTCCCCCATATATACATACTATACTTATCAAAAGTGGATCATAACCTTCTGATGATAATCTGCACATTAATGCTTCATCCAATTGTGAAGTAATAAGGAAATATGAGGAAAGTTTTGCGGGTGGCTCTCATGGAATGGGCACAAAGGGATAATTGTGTCTCGTGTGAAAGCTCAGGGTGGAGCACGCTATGCATGTCAGTCAGTCATTCTCCCCATTCACTGCAGTGGTAACTAAATGGGTTTATGAACCAAATGCCATGGTGACAGGATGTAAATTATTGTTTTGCTAAATAACGTGGGTTTCCCCTTACCAGGGATGTGCTAACAATGACATTAGATGAGTACCAACCTACACAAATCAGACCAATATTAAATCTCCAATAAAATATCATTTTCTAGGTAGACTAGCCGGCTAATCTCAGATCAATTACATTGAACCCTGTCTATCATAGAGGTTGCAGAGATTCATCTTCATTACAGAATAGGCGTTTACTCTTAAAATAGAGTTAATTTTCCTACCAGCAAAATTTTTGCCATCAGCGTCATTTGTGGACATGTAAGGTAGCCTTATCTATTGACATGGTGTCCCACTCAACATTGCTTCTGATCAAGGAATTTATTTTTATAGCAAACAATAGTGACTCAATGGGTTAATATCTGTAGGATTGACTGTCTTACCATGTATTCAAACATCAAGAAGCAGCTGGTTAATAAAATTGGGAAGTATTTTATTGAAGAGCTAGCTTCTCGAAAAGATAAAATTGGCAAACCTTTAGCTAAACTAAGAAAAAATACTCAAATAAATAAAATTACACATGAAAGAGGAAACATTTTAACTGATACTACAGAAATAAAGGATCCTAAGAGACTACTGCAAATAATTACACACCGACAAATTAGAAAACATAGAAGAAATGGATAAATTCCTAGAAACATATAACCTGCCAAGACTGAATCATGAAGAAATAGAAAATCTGAGCAAGTAAGGAGATTGAAAAATCTAACAAGTAAGGAGATTGAATCAACAATCAAAAACTTCCCAAGAGAAAAAAGGGCCAAGACCAGATAATTTCACTGGTGAATTATATAAAACATTTAAAGAATAATAATACAATTCTTTTCCAACTATTCCCGCCCCTGCCCCCAAAAATGAAGAGGAGGGAACATTTCTAAACTCATTTTACAAAGCCAGCATCACCCTGATTCTAAAGCCAGATAAGGCCACTACAAGAAAAAAAAAAATAGACCAGTATCTTTGTAAATATAGGTGTAAAAACTGTCACCAGTATATTAGCAAACCGAATTCAACAGAATATTAAAAGCATCATGCACCATGATCCTGTGGGATTTATCCCTGGGTGCAAGGATGGTTCAACATATGCAAATCAATAAATGTGATACACCACATTAATAGAATAAAAGATAAAAATTATATTATAATCTCAATAAATGCACAACAAGCATTTGACAAAATTCAGTCTCCTTTCATGATAAAAATTCTCAGCCAAGTTGGTCTAGAAGGGATGTGCCTCAACATAATAAAGGTCAACTGTGTAAAGCTCACTGTTAATATCAGACTCAACAGTGAAAGGTTGAAAGCTTCTCTACTAAGATCAGAAACAAG